GGAAAGCATTTATCTTACAAATATTTCGGGAACCGTTTTTGAAACAACTTCTTTTTGGTCGAAAAATCAGTATTGTAGAACGTTGCTTTAGTAATTGCATATTTTATACGCAAAAAGTGTTTCGGTAGAATTGAAGAACAATACATATAGTTAGAAAACTATACCTTTTGTTTGACTATAGAGGAATAAAATATCAATAACAAATTTTTTACCAGTTTATGAAACCTTTCAAAAACAATATTCGTTAGCTATTGTTCGTTTAAATTCGTCTCCAGATTTAGCTTTTCGACAGTAAAAATTTATTTTTGCAAAATTTTTTCAACGCCAAGCTACTTAATGTAAGTGTTTTTAATGATAAGACGAAAATGGCAGTATTTGTTGTTTTCATCAGCGCTTAAATGTCTTTTCAATAACACTTATTTGTCTCGTTCATTCCTGTCGTACCTAAAAAACTCTTACTAATGCTTTAGTTAGTAATAATACAATAACTGCCTGAGAAAGGTAAGGGTTTCTCTTCAGTTTGCTTGCTCCATCGCTTTTGTTGGTTATAATAAGACAAAATTCATATTAATTACGATTACTGCTCATTTAATAGACTGGAAAGAAAATAAGTTTACCAAACTAAAAAAGGTACAAAGTTGTTTTAGGCAGAAATTTTAAACCTAGGTGTTTTGCTCAAATTGTCATTTCTTTTACTACAAAAAGTGTCTAAAGTTTCACAAACAAAATCTTTCGGCTAATTGACTGAAAACTTTTCAAACGCTTAGCTTATTCAAAAATTCTCTAGAATAATTGATATACTGCCTGCTGAAAAACAGTATTCAATTATTCACAAAATCTAAAGCCCTCTTAAATTAATAGTCTCAAAAATTCCTTTCTGGCATAAGTTAAAAAAATTAACAGTGAGTTTTTTAGGTTGATTTTGAAATAACACCAACGTTACAGTTGTATAACGCAGAATTCTATTCAGTTCTAGCCAAACAATAGTCCAGAATCAAAAATGAACTACTTCTTCTTACTATTTTTTTCGCTACGAACTAAGATTTTCAGGCAATTATATAAAGTTAAATTACAATTTAAAACTATGAATTAAAAGCATTTTCTAGTAATTCTGGTTGCAAACAATTTGTACTAGGACAGACAAGTCGAATTTATATGTATCTTTGAAGCTAGTACCACGCAGTCTTTGCAGAAGTCAAAAATTCTTTGTGAGATGGGAGATACATTACTCAGCTACAACTGATTTACTTTGCTGTATCTCTTCTTGCTTATTTCTTCCGATTCAACTAACTGTTAGGTTCCTTGTTTCATTGTTAACTTTTAAAAGTTTTAAAATGCAAGTGGATAGATGTGATGCAGTATCACTTTTTATTACCCGCTACTATGAAGCAGCGTTATTAAGGCATTATCTGAAGATTTGAGTAAAAATGTGTCATTTGCGATGGCAGACGAAAAAATTAGGAATTTATAGCAATCGTTACTTAGAGGAATCACATACGAACAATTGAAATACACTGTGACTAAACGCATTGACACCACATTAAAAAATTTGTTTAAAATGTT